GAGTTTGAGTTTCGAATACTTTTTATTTTCCGAATTTTAGGTCATGACTCATGACACATCATTAAAGTGGAATTTGTTCGGATGAGAGGAGTTTTTCGTATTCATTACAAAAAAGCTCATTAAAGTAAAAGGAGAGATTCACAATCGTGCACCCAAAAATATGTGACAGAGACAGTCTAAGGAGGATTTTAGAGGGAAAAAAACTCTCACGGCTGAAAAATCATCCGGAGAACTTTTCTGGTTAAAATTCCAAAAGCGCAAACTCCGAGGAGTAAATGAGGATTTGGCGTAAAGACATTTTTCCTAACAAAGCTTTGGGTCCTGCTTTACTGGGTCCTGAACTGACGATAGATTGATGTATATTTATGACTGCAGCCGTATTGTTGAAACTTCAACTGGCTATGTCGTCACGATAAGACAAGACATAGCCCTATCTGCGCCGTGTAATATATCGATTTTCTATTCTTGTCGTGCCGCCATAAATTTCAACAATCGGGCTGCAGGACTTCTTTTTAACTCTTCCGCGCAAATGTTAAGATACGCACTCGAAAAATTTTTCTCGGCGCGTTCTCAGGCCAGGAAGTGCAGGGCCGCAACCCACATTTTAGAAGGGCAACGTGTTAATACATTTCAACAATCAAAGCATTTTTCGGGAAATTGACAATGTTGCGATAAAAATCAGCTATAGCTTACTTCATCGGCGCAATATGGTGGGCTGGAATAAAGTCGACGTGTGAGAGAAATAAGCAAAGTAACGAACAACAAGCTAATTTCACAGCAACGCCTGGATGCAACTATTCGAGCTTTACGGATGTCCATGTTGCATAAGCGCGGAAGTTCAGGCGTTCTTACTCAGCAGGCTCTCATCATTCATCACATCACACGCCGCGCGGCTGCGGAGTGTACCACGAGAATCAAAAATGACTTGAGGTGTCTTCAATTCTTTGTGTATAGTGTACTAGAAAGGCATCTACCACGCACAAACAGTTGCACACATTCGTATATGATGTGAGTTCCTTTTATGTTTTAGTTTTAATGTAGAGATGTGCTGGGCATGATCTGTGTAGATCAACTATTCGTGCCTAAGATGTATCTTCGTAGTACAAATGGACGTATTTCTGTCAAATGGAACTAAGCCCCAATTTTAGTTCCTTTTGAGGAATTTAGAGTGCCGGATAGCGCGTTCTGTCAAACGGAACTAAGCGCCATGAAAAAGCATTGCGAGTAGGTATAGGACGAAATAAGCCCATCGCCCGGTTCCGCCGCCAATCCAGGCCCCCCTCTAACTACCTCTCCCTATGGCGCTTAGTTCCGTTTGACAGAAATACGTTTACATGAAGAATTGAAGGCACTAAGTCATAGCTGATCCTCGCAGTTCAGCCCACTGCGGCCGCCACGCCGCACAGTGGATCGAGTCAATAGGAGAGGTCGGACGAAATTTGGAAAGTTTAAACTCTCAGAACTCCGTTTATGCAAGACTTTGAGGTTCTAAAAGTGGTTTGATTGGTTTCCTCGTAAAATTTTCTTCTCAAAACACCCCTTGAAATTTAAATTGTGACGAAATAAACATCAAAATTTTTAGTTTTAGTCAAAAATTTCATGTCCGACTTCTTTAATTGACTCGACCCACTGTGCGTCGCGGGTGGATCGGTGAGTGCCAAGAGAGCCAAAACGCCTTCATTTAAGTGCGTCTGCAACACGCGCATCCGTGGAGCCCGAATAGTTGCATGCAGGCGTTGTGATGAAATTCGTTTGGTGTTCGTCGTATACGATACGAACTGAGGGATCTGTGCGTGTTTCTCTTATACCTCAACTTAATTTCAGCGTCGCATATAGGGTCGATGAAGTAAACTATCGCAGATTTTTAAGGCCCAATCGTCAATTTTCTAAAAAAAATGCATTGATTGAATTAATTCATTACAAAAATTGCCCGTTCTTCAATTCCAAAGAATGTCTATGCATCTGAGCAAGATTTGTAGAGCTTCCTGTCACGTACATGAACGAGCCGTCCTTTATTTTGATTTTTACCCTTTTGTGGAAAAATACTTTTAGAGTTTAAGTGCGAGAGAAAGGAGAAAGGAGAAAGGAACTGATTTGGAGGGTGAAACCACGTGAAACAAAAATGCTTGCGGAATCCGAGGTAAGAGTATACCGCTCGGTATTATGCCGGTACCTAAACACGCTGAGGTTTTCCTGATATTTCCTTGTTTTCAGCCGGCACTGAAAGTTAGAGAGATCTTTTCGACTCTTTATCGACGCGCTACCTTCATTCTGTCGCCATTCCGTCGAAAGGACGTATCTCGATTTCTACGTGAGCCCTGTTTCACACGTGGAGCAATGCTTTCTGGAGCTCATGCGAAAATCGAGATACGCTCTTAAGTCAGTGGAGCGACGATTTATTCAAAAAAATATTGAAAATATTGTAGCGGACCGTGCGATAACGGTGCCTCGCAGACAACTGGCGCAATGATGACTTTTGATCAGCGTCCATAGACGAGTTCAATACAATAAAAAATTGAAAATCGAACAAGGAACACATTCCTGTAAGGAGTGTGCGGGGTCCTTTCCTCCCATAACATCCTAGTTAAGGCGTTAACGAAAATCATGTATGTTTCTGTTTACGTCTTCCTTAATTTAGGGATACGCATTACGCCTGCATTTCTCACCCTGGTAAAAATTGACCGTAGGACCTGCGTTTCAAACTACCATAGGAGTTCTTTTAGCCGACTGAAGAAGGCGATAGAAAATCATATAGCTGGCTGTAGAAAGTGGGAAAAATCATTCGGCCGGGCTACACGAAGCGATAAAAAAGTATACAGCCGGGCTATTGTTCCCATAGCCGGGTTTTACACTTTATTGCCTGGCTGTTCCTTTTTCGTCATCGGCTATAAAGGGCTATAAGAAATTGTGTAGAAATTCGTGTGCTTTGGAAATCCTTAAGTTTGTACGGAATCATCTTAATATTTACAAAACGCACATTATATTTTCCTTTACTACTTATTTTTTTTATCAATTAAAATGAGAATGATCCATACAGAGTGTGCAAACATTTCAAAGTCATGAGTTGAACAACGCTGACTCCACGAGATTAAATATTAGAGCCTATCACAAAGCGGAACGGCGGCGCACTGGTGCCTGCAAACCCAACAGGGATACTTCACGCATTGCGCAATGCGTGAAGTATCCCTGTTAGGTTTGTAGGCGCCAATGCGCGTTTCGCGCTGGCTGCCCGCCCGCCGCGCCGCAGCGTGCCACGGCGCTTGAAGCAACTATTTCACACCAGAGGTATTGCACAGTATCATACGAAATTGATATCATGTTGCGCTCCAACATATTAAGAATGGCAGGCATTCATCAAAAGTACGGAGCTTTCCTCGCAAAATAAATCAAGATATTACGGCCCAAAAAGAGAGCGGTAGTCCAAAAACTCACTAAGTCCTAGCATCCGTAATTAGTAACGTTTAGCATACACATTATCGCCAGGCTGTTGCTAAATCGCCATCGGCTATAAAAGGCTATAAGAAATTGTGTTGCCGGCTATGGAAGCTGTTGGAAATCTTACAGCCGGCTGTAGGTCTATGGTATTTTGGAACACAGATTCTACTGCCAATTTTTACCACGGACTTACCTTATGACACCCATGAACTAGATGTATTAATGCTAAAAGGAACTATTTTACACGCAATCCCTATGCAATAGTTCCTTTTACCATAAATATGTTCAACTATAAACATCGCGAGAGGAAAAAGTAAGCTCCGAAGCTCATTCTTCCTAATGGTAAGTATTCTCGGAGACTAGTTCAGATGAGTTAACTAAAATTTCGTTTTTTTAAAAATGTGTCTCAACGCTTTTGGCTGTCCTTTCTTTTAAACTATTAGCACTCAGAAAACGATAATCTGTACATTATTTAAGAGGAAATGTACAGGAACCAATGCTTCTCTTGCTTACATGGACGCCACGCCACTTGTCATTCGGGCCCATCATGAAATCAGAAGTGGAGTTTTGAAAAAACGAAACGCGACGGGACGTCCCGCAGATTTTAGCACTCGGACCCAAGTTTGAGCGTCCACTGGAAAAAAAAAAAACACATTGGATCTTGCGTCCAGACTCTTGAAAGCATTGACAAGAAAAAATACTCTTGAGTCAATCAGATTTTTGCTTAAATCAAAAGAAAATCCGCTCAAATTAAGAGGCTTGGTTCTTGATCTAAGCAAAAATCCGATTGAATCAAGAGTATTTTTTCTTGTCGACGTTTTTAAGAATCTGGACTCTAGATCCAATGTGTTTGTTTTCCAGCGTCTGTTTTGAGGTCTAAAAATGCGGGTGCCGCCAAAACCCAAATATTTCTGAAAAGTTTAGGTCGTCGATGGCAAAACATCGAAAAACCTCTGAGTGGTAGGATGGGGCCGATTCTGGTCCATGTCTATACCCACCTCTCGTCCGGTATCCCGATGATCGTTTTATTTCCGGTGCGGATTCTCCTCGATTAGCGTTGGTCCACAGTCCAGCGCAGCGTTTACAAGAGTGTCACACAGTGGATCGAGTCAATTGAAGAAGTCAGACATTAAATTTTGACTAAAACTGCAAATTTTGATGTTTATTTCATCACATTATAAATTTCAAGGGGTGCTTTAAGATGTTTTTACGAGGAAACCGATGAAACCACTTATGGAACTTCAAAGTTTTGTATAAACGGAGGTATGAGCTTTTAAAGTTTCCGAATGTTGTCCGACCTCTCCTATTGACTCGATCCACTGTGCGGCAGAGCGGCGCGGCGCGACCAGAGATCATGCTCTCTGGCTATACTCATTGGCCGCGACTGATTGTGAGCTTTCGGCGAGTGGGAGGCGAGTCGAAAGTGAGAGTGGTCACGTGATCCATCTCTCTGTCTCTTTCCCTCTTGCGGTTGGAGGGACGGTCGTCTCTCTCGCTCCCGTGGCCGCAGCGGTCCCTTCTTCGGTGACCGGGATTTCTCAACACCCAAGACGGCGGCCCGCGTTTACCTCACCGCAACCAGGTGAGGTCTCTGTCAGTTCCCATCTCGTGGCCGGAGTCGACTGACTCCTCCAGTGATTTTCGGTGCCGCGAACCCTCCGCGACTACGCGCAGTGCGATTGGATTCTACCTCACCCCCCGTCCAAACAATCAAGCAGGTAACGTCCTACACATGAGCCACATTTAGCAAGAAGGAGCCACCCTTCCTGGCCCATTTTAGAAACAACAGTTGGATTGCATTTTGCAAAAAGGAACCACTAATATTGCGAAGATGCGAAGATTGTGCAACTTCATCCTTTGCAATAAAATTGCGGAAATTGTGAAAAACTATGAAATTCAGATGGTAATTTTTTTCTTAAATTTATAGTTTTTAGAGAGTAAAATAGAAACTATTAAGGGATAATCGGGTTTTTCCTCCAAGACAAAAGAAGTTGCACAATCTCAGCAACATTGCAATGCTAGTGGTTCCTTTTTGCAAAATGCAATCCAGTTAAGGGACTCGGAGGACAAGCCACATAAGTGCATTTTTTCCTATTCCGAGAAATACGTGTTTGAAGTTTCGGTATTTTTCATAGATCCTTATGGAGGAAAGAAAGTTCAAACTGACTTTTTGATACTCAGAATCTGGATTTTGGGTGCGAATTTTTCACGGAATATGCGTTAAGACTAATTTTAACTGAAATCGTTAATACCTCAATTTATTCAAAAACTGTACTTCTGCGCCTTGTCCTCCAAGCCCCTCATTTATGTCATCGATTTCCTTAGGCAGAAAGGTGCCTTCATGGAAGAGCCAAAAATAGTGGTTCCTTATTGCAAAATGTAATCTACTTGTCCGACTGCTTGTCTCTTGCGCACCGAACCCTCGATTTTGTCACTTCTGCACCCTTCTACATCTCTGGCAGCATCGCTTCTGCGCTACAGTGCCTATTTTTACCATTAATGAACGTATAAATGGAAAGGAGCTAATTTTAGGTCAATAATAGGACTGTCGTTTATTTTTTTTCATTCCTTTAACTGTCTCATACCTTAATGCTCAATAACTATAGTTTACAAACGTTTAATAATGCCATAGTATTTTCGGGTACCCACACAGTTCTTTTCTTACGGGCGGATTAACAAAAACTCGAAACGGGGTTAAACGTTTTCAGGAGCAAGCAACTGATTTAGTATTATTATCTTCATGGGTTAATTTTTTCTTTTCGTTCAAATTTTATTTTTTATCAACTAAATGCTGCTCTTGGAACTTTCTAACTAAACCTGCATTAGGTCACCAAGTTGTGCACAAAATACGGAATTATAGGAAAAATGTGTGCGGAGGCGTTAACTGAATTTTGTGAGCGGGGAAACCTCTTCATTGGAGTTTTTGTGAGGGAACGTCAAAATATTTTTGTGCGGAAACATCAGCCTCCCACTTGACACAGTGAAACCTTAGGAACTAATTGCGAATGCAAGTGAAGAATTTTCAAGTGATGACGTCATGTGTAAATCAGCTCAGATTTTGTACCCCGTCATTTCTTGTTTCAGTGGTGGGATATGATTATAAATTTTAAGCTCCAAGTAATTATGAAGCCAAAGTGTCTCAATAGGTTTATCGCGTCCGAAGTATTTGCGATGAAACTTAAGTGTCGTTAAACGTGAAAATGACGGGGCAACTAGCTGCGATTGTTAAATCGCATTTTCCTGCTGTTTTTTTTTTTTTTTCGTGGCACTTGTCTTTGTTTTCTTTCATGTCACGAGGAACTCGTCCCTCGTGGCTTTTTTTTTGTAGTTAATGATTGGCCGTTTCATGAATCGACTCGTAGTAACGTTTTCTTTAGCCGGCTTTGCGGCATAATAATATACTCACATCTATCCTCACTCTTTCCGATCAGTTCGCCTTTAATATCTCGATAGGCAATGTGAGCGACTTGGGAGTAGTAATAGTTGCTTGACGCATTCCAGCTACGATCACTCGTTTTATTTATAGCTGGAGCGGTTAAATAACATCAACTCCCGTTCTTGCCTATTGCTAACTTGCTCTATTACGACTTTTCTGCTTTTAACTGCCGTCCAAGCAGCGCAGATCGCCAAAAAGTATCATTACATTCTTAATGGAATCCATTTTATCTCTTTTGAAGCATTCTGGCGTGAACAGGATGGACGCTGCATGAACCTTTTAAGACTACTTTATTGGGGAATAGTTTTCTTCCGCATTTTTAGACCGTTTTGTTCGTAATTTGAGTTAAAAAAGCTGTAAATTTCAGGAAAAAATACGCGAAACTGTTTTTTAAACCGCATTTTTTATCAGGGGAAATTTAGCAACACTCAGATGTTCATATGGGGTTTTTCCATAGCACGGCAGCAATTTAAGCCGTATAATCTGCGTTAAAGAAATCAATCCAAAAAAGCTGCACGAGAGCTTTGATTTGAATTAAGACCTGTATTGTGATTTCTCTTTTTTCTCCTCTCTTTCTTCCTTAATTCTTTACACTCTTTCCGGAAAATTGACATGAATTGAAAGTTCCACTAGCACGACTCGTTTCAATTTCATTTTAATGGAGCCATTATCTCAGCATTCCTGAGAAGATTCAGAAATACACGCGGTTTTTCCACTCTTGTTTCAATGTGATTTCCGATTCTTTAGACTTTTACTTATCATGTTATAAATCGATGGCCAAAGTGAAAAACCAAGTACCTCCGTTTGCGACTTTGCATCGACTTCCTGGCATACTTAATTGTTTCTCTGGAAAACTAGTCAACGTAATTTCTTGAAAACGTCCTTGATTTTCATATCCGTCAGCAGATATAACGTTCTTTTTGTGTACATATCAAGCTATAAAAGTGTCTTGTCTATCTAAGAAAAAATAAAATAAGAGCTTAAATTTGAAAACACTGAGATGGAGGTGCGTGCTCTCGTACTTTGGCCAACGAAATACTTTGACGTATTCCTGTCAAACGAAACTATGTGCATTATGACGTGAGCCTTGTTATGCATGTATTCTTACGGGTCTCAGGGCTCATGTCTTAACGCACATATAGTTCCGTTTGGCAGAAAGAGGCACTTCTAAAACAATGAGCTTGGTACGATGAATATTTGCGGATTGAGTGACTGGATGTCCCATTCCATGGAAAAGTCAATTTACAGATGTCTCTCGACTGTCTGCTGGTGCATGATATGTGACATATGTAGACTGTCAATCGTGCTCATCATTTTGCACAACGTCAAGAGTGACAATCAAAGGAGTCTAACTGCATCAGAACGTTGCGAAGTTTGACCTAACACCTACTTTCTTCACTCGTAAACGGGTGCATGTACTGACATTTTTTGGGCAAAAAACTCCGTAACTCGTAAAAAAAAATCGTAACGAATTTTAATAGAATCTTCGCTACCGTTCTCGAGTAGATTAGTAAAGTTTTATGTAAAATTGTGCTCTATATATAATGGAATCTCCTCGACTCAAAATATTTAATTGATACCTAACAAACGACTGACAACACTGGGGAAAACAAACTCAAAATTTGCCCTTTTAAATCCAAGAACGTGGTGCCCTTCAAAATGCTCGCAGACTTAGATCTACATTAGCAGACTCCCTTTTTTATTGTATTTTCACACATATGTCCGGAAAAGGATAAAAAAAAGCGGTCTAGAATCTGCTTATTTGCAAAACTTGTCTGCTTTCGGACGAGAAGCTGCGACCAGACGTCGCCATTCTCTCGGTTATCATAAAGAGAAAAAAACTTTGTAACTTTACATATTTGCACCCCTCCACGTTAAAATCCACGGTTCGAACACTGTTTTAAATGGACCCCCCCCCCTTAAAGAATTCCTAGCTACATCACTGAAGATTTTCCATGCACGCGATGTTCGTAAGCTTACGTTGATCGAGACTCAACATTTCTCATAAAATCTCTTGATACATCACGGCGTGGTTTACGGCAAACGGTGGTAGCGGTAACGACGACGCTTTCGTCCTGCGAGGATCATTAGCGCGTTTGCGTTTTTAGTCTGTGCCGAGTAGGATGTGTACCGAGTGCGGTACGTCCCACGTGAAGTTAAAATCCACGTTTTAATTGCGTGTCTGCGGAGTAATCGATCTCCCGCGGTTTCAACACGAGACAAGACTCCGGAACTGCACGCATGCACACTCTCTAATCTTCTCAAAAGTGCGTGCGCTTGGAGACAATATTTACTTCAGAGACCTTGCACTTCCTATTCAAGCCAATTATTTTTTTTTAAAATTAAAGTATAATTGGACTATTTTTGTCAAACGGAACCAAGCGCCAAATTGAGTTCCTTTTGAGGAATTTTGAATGCCGGATAGCGCGTTCTGTGAAACGGAACTAAGCGCCATGGAAAAGCATTGCGAGTATACATAGAGTACATAGATGTACTCTATGCGAGTATAGGACGGAATGAGCCCGACGCCCGATTCCGCCGCCAATCCAAGCCCCCCCCTCTACCTTCCTCCTTCGATGGCGCTTAGTTCCATTTGAGAGAAATACGTCCAATTGGATCACAACAAATGTTTAGATATTATTGGTTTCGAAAGTTTCTCCTCACCATTTAACTCTCTACGGCATTGCGTTACAAATTCGTAACAAAGTATTTTTAGCGTTTTTAAAAATCGAATCTTGCTCTTCTGGCATAATTTTCCAAAATTTTGTTGTTTTCTTCTTTTTTTTTGAAAAAATTGATTCCCTTAAATTTAAAATTTTGAAAACAAATTTGGTACTCTATTTTTTGTTAGCGAGCTATTTTTTCGTATGCAAGCTACGAAATAAATTAGTGTCCTCTAGACTCTGAGATCCAAAATTAATTCATGTCATAGAGGATTAACAGACAATATACAAGTAGATTAAAAATATATCGATGATGAAACTTTAGGGATGAGTGTCGGTCTGGCTCAAAAATTCTCGGGGTATGCTGATGCGTTTTCGGAGCCCCCTCGCCTCAGGTGGGGCCCTTTTTAACTAACCTTAAGCCCTCCTTTATGTGGAGTTTTCAAGTTTTGGGGGCCCCTACAACACAAGAAACCTGCCGGTGCCCTCTGAGCCACCCTTCAAAATTTCTGAGGGAAGCTCCCTAGCTAGCGCCCCTGGCCAGCAGACTGCCCCTGATAGGGATGTGCATTCGGTTTGCATTGTTGCAGACTCCTTGGCATTCTTTACTTCTCGGATG